GTTGTCAACTGCACAAGATTCAAAGCAAGCCCATACAGGGCCCTTATGGCTTCCTCTTAATGTATTTTTACTCAAAATAATCAAATCTATATATATTTATTTGATTATTTTTAATAGAAAAGACCAGGTTTTTTGCCGGTTTTTTCCGGAAAATACCGGTTTTTACCATTGGCATGGACTTTATCCAAAAAATGTGGACTTTTGCCAACCCTGAATTTATGATAGCCTTTAGATTAATATTGAACTCGACAGTTTTTATTTTTAATGGTATATTTTACAAACAAATTTTTGGAACGACTATGGGATCCCCATTATCACCTATAGTAGCAAACATGGTCATGCAGGATTTCGAGGAAATTGCAATTGGATTATTACCTCCCCCTCACGGGGCGCGGCCTTGCCGCGGCGAGGGGGCTCCCCCAGGGGATGCCCTGGGGATCTAACACGTCCCGTACGGAGTCCTCCGTTAAATAGTAGAACTCTATACACTGGGTCTGGCACTCCAAGGCAGTCCACTCTTCGGAATGGGCCTCTGGGGGGAGCCGTTCCATACGGAACGGTTCCCCATTGTGCCGGTAGGGGATGGCAACCTCGACTTCAAACGCCCGGTGGCACGGCACCGATAGGGGGAGGTTTACTCCCTGCCCGTGAGAGATGTGGGGTTTCGCCCCCACTGGGTCCGGGCTCCCGTGGGGCCCTCTTCTCCCTCTTCGGGGGGTGGGGTGGTTCCCTCGGGATCTCGGGCCCAAAAGTGACGAGCGGGTGACCCCGCACGGCGGATCGGCCCGTATGCTGGGTGCTCCTGGCTGCGGGCTGGCTCATGCCACAGACGGGAGAGTTCCCAAGAGCTACGGCTCATTGCACTGAGGACTCTCACCTGATGAGACGACGTGCGGACTCTGTCCGTAGGAGGGGGCGAGGGGCCGCCCAGAATTATTCCGGGGCAGGAATCTCGCCTCTTTTGGAGAGGGACGGCACGGCCGCTCAGACGTATTCCGAGGCGGGGCGTGTCGTCCCAGCTCCCGGGCCGCTCGGACGTATTCCGAGGTCGGGGCCGGCGGCGGGGTGAAGCGGCCCGATGTCGTCGCGACGGCGTCCCTTCCGAAGCGATGGCACTGGGCGGGGTTTTGTCGGCGTCGGGACCAGTCCCGTTGCTGACGTGCTGGTCGCCGCGGCGGCTAGGGTGCGGAGGAGGCGCCGCCTCCGTTACCCGACCTGTCCGTGGGGCCTCCCCATGGGTGGCGCCACCCGCAGCGGTACTCCCGAAGTCGGAGGCGGGAGACCCCTGAAAGTCGTGGGTAAGCGGGCGGTGCCACGACGAGTAAGGGGCTGGAGGCCAGCGTCCCCGATGTAACATACCGCCATATGCCAGCTCCCCGAGGAAACTTGGGGCCCCGTCCGGGTCATGTTTTCGGACGGGTGAGGGTACACCCTGGCTGGCGGAGCCGCTGCGGGGTTGGGGGTTAACGAAAATGAGTAGAGACATTAATAAATGGGAGAGGAGAAACAATGATGGAAGGAAGAACAACTTCTTCTGCAAAGGAGATGACACGGAGACAGCCTCCGAGGAGGAGGACTCCTATTTCGAAGCATCCTTCGTGGATGGAAGTTTAGACCATATCGCAGGCTTATACATGGTCCCGGTAGAGGACCGCGTGAGGGTGTTTACCTCGACGGATGAGAAGAACATCTTTCTAAAAATGACAGATCTGAAGTTCTACGCATTAAAGGAGGAAACGGGGGAGACTCCTCCACACCAGGTCCTTCGGGCCAAGTGGCCCAGTCATCACCTCTCTCTCAGAGGGGAAGACCAGTACCCAGGTCATCCAAAGAGGCGAACAAACTTCCCCCAACAAGGAAGGATGACGTGAAAAACCGGGATGAATCTACATCAAGTAGATCGGTGGCACCAATAGCTACTGCCGACTCGGAGGAGGACGCCCGCTCGATATCCTCGAGGGAATCTGGCGGTCTCGCAGGATCCGAGTGCAGCACTTTAGAGGAACGAAGATGCTGGTGAGGGGTGGCACGACGGAGGACGCAGACGAGACATGCGCTTCGTCGATCTCCTCCAGAAGCGGCCTGATCCCGGGGGTTGTCACCAAGTCCCGAAGAGGAGGAAAAAGGACCAAAGCATCCGCGCCGGTAGTACTGTCATCTGATGAGGACATTGCTAGTCAAAGGAGGGATTCCGAACCGCCGGAAAAGAAAGAGAACAGACATTCAGGGGGCAGTGCAAGCAACTTCCCGCCGAGGGATAAGTACATTTTTCAACGAGAGGCACTACAACTAGCCAACGAGCAGAAAAAAAGGCAACTGCAACTTAAGCGGGAGGACGCGATCTGAGAACTCTCTAGAAAGGATCTGCTCAAACGTGCCAAGATCAATCTTGACAAGATTGTGGATGAAATAGAGGATCAACCCAGTGAAGAGCTGGCCCAAAAAGCAGAGGGTTATATGTTGGAGGTGGTCAGGATAGCTAAGACCTCCTCCAACCTAAAAGGTACATTCCAAAAATCACTGCGTCTGTCCGCAGCGACCACTATGGGATGTCTTCAAGTCTTGCAGGCGAGGGCTGAGAAGACCGTCGATGAAGCAGGCTCAAAAAAAATTGTCATGTTCAAGAAGAAACTGCAGGAAATTAGGTCAAAGTTAAATGGGCAGCTTGAAGAACAAAAAAGCAAAACTAAGGCGGCAGAGGATCGAGCCAAGAGGCTCGAGAAAGAAGTCTCCGAACTAAAAAGGGGAAAAGATAATAAAGGCCCCTTACAAATCGAAAGAACACTCTTCTGTCGAAACGGGAAGACGCCGCGATTTGCGCACCTAACGCGACCGAGGAACAGATGTCAAGAAGGAGCTCCCCTCATCCAGGGAGAACAAACGTCCATAAAAAAGTATACACGGAAAGGTCTACGTCTGAGGAAGAACAGATGGACGTCAGCGAGGGAGAACAAGACAAAGTGATCCTCCCTCCTAAAAAGGATTGGCCTCCAGCCATACGTCCTCCCTATAAAGGGGAAAATCATGGTGATTGAGGACAGAATTCTACCCGAGAATCAGCGAATTCAAATTGACAGAACTCACCTCAGGGTAACACAGCAGGCGAAAAGGGACGAATCCCTCGGGAAAGGAAAAGTAAGTAAAAAAGGGAAAGACCTTCCCTCTGATAGGCTCCCTAAATCTGGTTCTCCGAGGGACCTCAAGGAGATGATAAGAGACCTAATAAGAGAAGAATTGGGGAGGGGCCCTATCACCCCTTCCCTCCCCCCAAAACCACGATTCAACAAAGGGAAGGATAAAAATATTCCTGAATCACGAAGGTCTGGGCGACCACCCGCTATCCCTAAGTGTACGGGAAGCGAGGAGCCATGCCAAGGGACAAAAGCCCCCACTGCCCAGGATGGAAATGTTGATCATTCCCGACCTCAGGAGACGTGGGCCACAGTGCTGGGCCGACGAGCTAAGCAAGTGGCTAAAACACAGATGAAACAATCAACTATTACCAAAAAAGGCAAGGTGACAAGTACTGATAACGCAAAAGGACCAAAGCTGACGAAGCCACCACGTACAGCAGCCATCCAAATTATGATGACAGGTGAGGCCAGTTATGCCGAGACGCTTCGACTTGCTAAAGAGTGAGTAAATATTGAAGAGCAAGGAATATCAGAAATGAGGCCGAGAAGAACCAGGACAGGAGCTCTCCTCCTGGAGATCCCAGGCCCGGATAACGGGGAGAAGGCCGATGCCCTAGCCTCAAAATTACAAGAGGCCCTTCAGGATAAGCAGCAGGAGGTAAAGATTTCGAGGCCGACAAAGACGGCTGAAGTCATAGTGCGCGATCTCGAGGATTCTGCCTCCCCAATGGACATCACCCGGACGATCTCCGCCTTGACAAAATGCAACCAGGCTGAGTTCGGAGTGGGTTTAATAACTCGTGCCCGCAATGGTCTGGGCATGGCCTGGGTTAGATGCCCGGTATCGGCGGCAAACCTTCTTGCAATACGGAAGAAAGTCCAAATTGGATGGACCATGGCCAGGATAACCCTCTTACCGGCACGTAAGCTCCAATGTTATAAATGTTTGGAGCTGGGACATGTAAGAGCAGAATATAGAAGCACAATCGATAGAAGCTCGATCTGCTATCGATGTGGCGAAATAGGCCACATGGCGCGCAGCTGTCAGAGGGTTGCCAAATGCGTCCTATGCGAGGCGGCGGAGGCCCCGGCGGGCCACCGCATGGGCGGAGAGGCCTGTAATCCTCAGAGGAGAAAAAACTCCAGGAATATCAAGGCTCGCGGCATATTGGCTGCTGCTTCTGGAAAACAGGGAGATGAGGAGACAGCGGTTACAGAGGACCTTTCTATTAATCGTGGGACCGCGGATCTTCCTCGGCCATCCTGCGCTAGCCGGGGGGATGGACCCGGCGATACCTCCTCTGGCGCAATCCACAACTGGAGACCACAAGCACAGTCCCCATGGACTGGCTCACGGTGGAGAACCCTACATCCTGCGACTGGCGACAAAGGGCAGAGGAGGAAGGCCTACCAAAACAAATAGATGGCTAACACTCTCCTCCAATGCAACTTGAATAGAGCGAGGAATGCACAAGATCTGCTCACATAGGCAATGTTAGACCATGATGTAGGTCTTGCAATAGTGGCGGAGCCACACAGAATTCCCTCCGGCCACCCACATTGGCTAGGCGACTTGTGCGACGACGTGGCACTCTACTGGGGAAGAAGCGACCACCCGCTCCCATTCTCTCCAGTTTTTGCTGGGAGGGGCTTCGTCACGGGTAAATGAGGAGAGATATACGTGACGGGTGTATACATCTCACCTAACATCTCTCTGGATGACTTCGAGGAGGTACTCGAGAGGCTGGATCGACACCTACAACGTTACCTTGACAGGCCCATAATCGTTGGTGGAGACTTTAACGCAAGGTCCTTTGGGGAGACAGACTGACAAACGCCAGAGGAAGGTCCCTTGAAAGCTGGGCCATGGGACTCGGTTTGTGTTGCGAGAACACTGGACAAATGAGCACCTGTGTGAGGTCGACGGGGGAATCCGTGGTGGACGTTACCTGGTCCTCTCCAGGGGCATCTCGGTCGCTATCCAACTGGCGGGTGCTACAAGAGGAGACAATGTCGGACCACCTGTACATAACAATGCGGGTGGGTCTGACAAAGTCACAGGCTCTGAGGAATATGATCAAGGAGCAGAGATGGGTCGCCAAGAAAATGAACAATGACCTGTTTGAGGCAGCCCTCCTGGCTCGCACATGGCCTACCGGCGGTCAACAGCCGCAGTCTCTGGGAGATTTGGAGGATGAAGCCTGTAAAATTCAGCAGATGATGGTCGAGGCCTGCGACGTCGCGATGCCCAGAGCGACACCGGAGAAGACAAACGGTATACTGGTGGAGTGATAACATCTCCTCGATCAGAGAGGATATTCTTAGAAAGCGTAGGAAAATAAAGAGGGCACACAAAGGGAAACGGACCAGGAGAAGCTGGACCAAAAGATCCGGGAGTATAGATCGGCGAAGAAGACCCTGAGAATCGCGATCCACAAGGCAAAGGAACAGTCTTGGAAAAACTTGACAGAGTCCCTCAACGAAGACCCATGGAGTACGGCGTATCGCGTGGTCCTCAATAAATTGAGACCCTCGACGGTACCATATTCGGAATCGATGGAGCCACCATTCTTGAAAGAGACTCTAAATACTCTGTTCCCGGCTTCGGTCAGATCATCACGGGAGTGGAAGTAGCCGGACAGTCTGCCGACGTCAGGCCCTGGACATTGGACCCCTGAAATGGAGGTCACACGTGAAGAAATCCTTGAGGCCATTAAACGGTTGAAGCAGCCCAAGCCTGGCTGGGAATCACGCTTGGGCCGGCGCCGGGTCCAAGCGGGATGCCCAGCCAGGCTTGGGCATCAGCAGCGGACATCTTACTCGGCCGTCTGAGAAATACTTTCACGATGTGCCTGAAAGACGGAGCCTTTCCAATTATATGGAAAAGGGCTAAATTAATCCTCTTAAGGAAGAACAACAAACTAGCCGACAGCCCAACTGGATACAGACCAATATGCCTGATTGATGATGAAGCTAAGATCTTTGAGAGAATCATTGCGGGAAGGATATCCAACTATCTCGATCTGCCGGCTGGAGGCTCACGCTTGAACACCCAATATGGCTTCCGCAAGGGTCG